GGTGACATAGTCCTCAGTGGTCCCTGGGTCAGTGGTGACATAGTCATCAGTGGTCCCTAGGTCAGTGGTGACATAGTCCTCAGTGGTCCCTGGGTCAGTGGTAACATAGTCATCTGTGGTTCCTGGGTCAGGGGTGACATAGTCCTCAGTGGTCCCTGGGTCAGTGGTGACATAGTCATCAGTGGTCCTTAGGTCAGTGGTGACATAATCATCAGTGGTCCCTGGGTCAGTGGTGACATAGTCTTCAGTGGTGACATAGTCCTCAGTGGTCCCTGGGTCTGTAGTACTATCATTTTCTCTTGTTCCGGAGTTTTCATGGCTGCTTGCTGGGCCTTCAGTAGAAACATTTTGCCTTGTTCCTACTAAAAAATAATCTCATTAATATGTATTGTTGACGGTCTCTCCTCATCTGCTCTACTTAGTATATTTCATAACTATCTTCCCATCAACTGACACATCTTCCCAGGTCATGTGGTTAGACTTAATTTGTGTTAAGGATCATCTGTTATGTTTTATTTAATTTTGGTAAGCATTTTCTACAAAGACTCCTCTTGCACCATAGTAAGGGTTATTCAGAAGTAAGCCATGTCCTTAGAAGGTCTGATCACTCAGCCTTTGCCTTTGTCCTTTTTTATTTTTTTTGAGATAGTCTCATTTTGTCACCATTGGTAGAGTGCTGTGGCATCATAGGTCACAGCAACCTCAAACTCTTGGGCTCAAGTGATCCTCTTGCCTCAGTTTTTCATTTTTTTAGTAGAGACAGGATCTTGCTCTTGCTCAGGCCAGTCTCAAAGTCATGAGCTCAAGTAATCCACCCGCCTCAGCCTCCCAGAGTGCTAGGATTACAGGTGGGACCCACTGCACCTGGCTGCCTCTGTCCTTTCTGTTTACGGAATAGTAAATTTGACTATTCCTCTGTCTCACTCCCCTCTGAATTGTTTCAGAACTGACTCCATGTTTGTATGTGTCTCCCCTCATCCAGTTATTCCCAGGGTTCTGGCAAACCAATGAGGCAGAAGCTGTGATTCATATCAGAGGTTAAGCTCAGGTCATGGCTTGGTGTGTGACTAAGAGTAAGACAGCTCCAGGGTCAGCCGTGGGGTCAGAGGCAGGCTAGAGGCAGGTAAGACTGAAGGTGGCTTGGGGGTGGGTTGGGAGGAGTCACAGGGAAGCGGGTGTGCTCCAGCCAGGTCGGCAGCAGCCTGGAGCTGGGTATAAATAGAAAGAAGAAATGACTCCTCTTCACCTCCACCCTGCCCCCACCGGCAGTTTTCAGGACCACAATATATATTTTTTTTTTTTTTTGAGACAGAGCCTCAAGCTGTCCCCCTGGGTAGAGTGCCGTGGCATTACAGCTCACAGCAACCTCCAACTCCTGGGCTCAAGTGAGTCTCCTGCCTCCGCCTCCCAAGTAGCTGGGACCACAGGCGCCCGCCACAACGCCCAGCTATTTTTTGGTTGCAGCCATTATTGTTGTTTGGCAGTCCGGGCTGGATTCGAACCCGCCACCTTAGGTGTATGTGGCTGGCGTCTTAGCCATTGAGCTACAGGCGCCGAGCCAGGACCACAATATTTTGGTATACCTTTTAGAGTTTTGGGTCTCTGCCCCCAAACAATTCTTCCTTACCTGGTTGCTGGTGATTCACAAAATTCCTCTACTGGGGTTTAAACCATTCATTTCTCAAGAAGAGTTGAAATAAATAAAATATAAATAATCATAAGTAGAGCATTTCCTTAAAAGGGCATGTGAGAAAGAATGAACAAGACACTGAGGCAGGGAGTTGGCTGGCAGATAGCAAGGCACAGAGCCTCCCCAGGTCCACTCACCTATTCCATACCTCTGCTCAGGACCGGCTCTGTCTGAGGCCCAAGAGGTTCCTCTTCCAAGGACCCTGACCCCATCCCTCCTGGCCCTCAGAACCTTTGTGTCTTTCTGTCCGAATCTGACTCCCTCACCTAGCTCTGAACACCTCAGGAAGAGCAGCAGCAGCAGCAGCAGGAGGGATGTGGCCGGGCATTTTCTTCTTTTCATCTCAAGAGAATCGATGGACGAAAGCCAGGACACCTCTTCCTCCCTCCCCTCTCACCCTTTTCTCCACTCTTTCCTTCAGGGCTGTGGATTTATGTGCACTGCTGCTCAGGGAAACCAGGGCCCCCAGGTCTTCCTTCCTGCAGGGAGGAGCGACCTGCCCCTTTACTCCCTGTCACTCTGGGGAAGTAGGATCTGATATAGGGAGTGGCCAGGCAGGGCAGGAGAAGGATGTCACACGGCAAGAAGGGGTGCTTGGCTTTGGCCCAGCGCCCAGAGTGGAGCATTATCAGGGGATCAAGCTTGTCAATATGAGCTCTGCACGACCTGATGCGTGGCCTAGATGAAAACTATTCTCCACACGATGTCTCAGTGCCCAAGGGTTGTGGCCTTCCTCTTCCACAGGTGGTACAGTAATGTCTGGGTGACTGAAGAGGGCACAGACTAGGCCTGCTGAGGAGATAGGAGATAGCAGGTGGCAAGAGGAGAGCCAAGTGCCAGAGTGTGGAAAGCACTAGGTCCTTAGCAGAAGGGAGGAGTGTTCATGAGGGGCCATCTCTCTCTCTGAATACTGCCCTCTTCTCGCAATCATCCACCCAAATCCTGTTTGACTTATCTCCAGCCCAGAGATCTATCTCCTTGCTTCCCCTACTAGAGCACTCTCACCCCAGCAAGTTTTGCTTAATTCCCAGACAAAGCTACCTCATGTCCAGAGCTCTAGAAGAAGGCCCACATCACGTCCTGCTGTCCCTGACCCCCATCCCTGCCCCAGTCAATGATGCCCACAAATTGTGCATGGTTCCTGCTTTCATTTAGAGTTCCTGCCATTTGTGGGGCTTTTCTCCTTCCCTTGGCCTTATGGTCAAACACTGTTTTTCAAGATTATTTAAGCCCCCTCCTTCTTCCTCATCCCCTTGACGGTGGTTATGTGATTCATTTGCCAGGGTCTGCATTTCACCTTCTCCCCACCTCCACATCATGATTGATTTGCTAAATTTCTACACATTAAAATTCACTCTTTGTAGTGTACAAACTCATATAGTTCTCTGGATTTTGATACATGATAGAGTCGTTAATCCACCGTATTAGGTCCCTTGGGATTCTTTAAATCCATCCAACCTGACTCTTTATAGCCAGCCTTCTCCTGACTCCCAATCCCTGACAAATGGCTCTGGTTTCTGTCCTATAATTTTGCTATTTCCAGAATGTCATAAGAATCAGAACATAGAGTCTGGGCTCGGCGCCTATAGCTCAATCGGCTAAGGCGGCAGCCACGTACACCTAAGGTGGCGGGTTCGAATCCCCAGCCCGGACCCGCCAAAAACAACAATGACGGCTGCAACCAAAAAATAGCCGGGCGTTGTGGCAGGTGCCTGTGGTCCCAGCTACTTGGGAGGCTGAGGCAGGAGACTCGCTTGAGCCCAGGAGATGGAGGTTGCTGTGAGCTGTAATGCCACGGCACTCTACCCAGGGGGACAGCTTGAGGCTCTGTCTCAAAAAAAAAAAAACATAGAGTCTGTAGACTTATTGTTTTGAGCATAATTTATATATTAGTTCTAGGAATTATATTTGCAGTTATTCATCAGAGTCAAAAATAAACAAATTTTTGCATATATTTTTAAATAGTCTTTCCTATGAAATTTTTTATAAATAAATATATCATTACCGAGTGTGTTCTTAACTAGAAAACATGCTTAACTAAAAGATGTTCACCAATCTCCCCTGTACCCCGTCTCCTGCTGCAGCTGAGGGAGACACATAGTCATTTGATGTGTTAGATTTTAGAACATTGCCTAAAGCTGTTCAGTGAAGACCTCCCTAAAACAGGACTTTTAATAAAAGCCACTAAGAATTATGAAGATTTTTTTTTTTTAAATACCAGACATAAACCTCTCAAAATGACTTCTCGTCTTGATTTTCATTTCCATGTTTTGGTGTTTTGGATTTGTTTTATTTGCTTTTTTCTTTGCTAAAACATTACAACAGCCTCTTTGTTGGATTTCAGCCTCTGTTTTCTGCTCACTCAGGTGATCAGAGTGTTCTTACTTGGAAAAAAATTATGTCCCACTACACCTTAAAATGATCTGTTGGCTTCCTGCTGTTACAGGATGAAATCTTGCCTGCTCAGATGGCATTGGAAGCCGCACAGGCAAACCCCCTGCCTTGTCTCTGACAGCTGTGCTATCTGGCCCCTCAAGTCTTCTGACAGTTCACTGGCCCAGGAAAGGCTGGTCTTGCACAAGCTGTTCGCTTGCTTGGCATTTCCCCTCCTCCTCCTCATAAATACCTGCGAACCCTTCATAATCCAAATGTCACCTTTTATGTGAATCAGTCCCCCCTCCCCTTGGTAGGGTTATAAGTTTCCTCCTGGGGTACTTTAATTTCTACCACTTGCTGTACTGGCCAATAAGTCGTCTGACTGTAAGTCTGTCTCCTTCACCAGACTGTGACCTACAGGCTTATCATTGTCTCCCCAACTTCTCTGGACCTTGTGCCAAGCAGCTGCTCTGTCAGTATAGAAAAGGAATGAATGAAGAAATGAGTGAGAAAGACGATAAAGACGATAAAGCCCCTTTATGGATAAAGGGGCTCTGAAGGCTGAAGAGGAGATGTCTCATAGACGATTACTGCTTTCAAGGATTAAAAATAAAAAACAAACCTGTTCCTAACATAATTGATGCTAAAAAAAAAATCAAAAAACCTGTTATAAAGTTTTTGTTTTTATTGGGGGAAATGCACACAAGTATTCAGTTAGATGAATTTTGACAAATGTACTTACCTGTGTAAATAACAGTCCTGTCACCCAGAAAGTGTCCCCTTCCTAAAAATCCTCACCCTCACAGATCAGATGTCTATCATCATAGATTAGTCTTGCCTATTCTTGAATTTCATACAACAGGAATCATGTAGCAAGTACTCTCTTGCATCTGGTTTCTATACAGCTGTTAAAGCAGTTTTGTTAACAGTGTTATAACATGTGCCTAGAGAAACAGCTTGGCCTTGCTCGGTTCTGGCAAAGAGCAGGCTGAGAAGCTCAGAAGCTTGAGAAACTTAACAGAGAGTGAAGTTGACAAAGCCAGGGTGAGTGACTCACCCACAGGGAAGAAGAGTCAGCGCAGTGCGTGTGGGGCAACAAGTTGCACCAGGAGCTTATCAGGGGCAGGCCCTCAGCAACAGCCCGGCGCTGACACGTGGCTGTGTCCCTGTCTGAGGTGGTTTTGTGGGAGCTGCAGGGAATCTAGAGCCTAGCAGGGTGAGCCAACCCCACCCTTGCAGAAACTGGGAGCACATTCTCCCTGCCCAGAACGGCTGCTGGGGGTGGGAGCTGACAGGAGAGAAAGGTGGCAACTCACACCTGCAGCCTGGAGCAGACTTAAGTGGCCAGGACATGTGGCCATGCTTGAGGGTGGCCCCATTAGGCAGTCCTTCCCTACCTCACAACATGAAAGCGCAGTCACTTTCTCCCTCCTCATGCTCTAGGTTCACACAGAGACTGTCTTTTTTTTTTTTTTTTTTGAGACAGAGCCTCAAGCTATCCTCCTGGGTAGAGTGCCATGGCATCATGGCTCACAGCAACCTCCAGCTCCTGGGCTCAAGCGCCCAAGTAGCTGGGACCACAGGTGCTCGCCACAACGCCTGGCTATTTTTTGTTTGCAGCCGTCATTGTTGTTTGGCAGGCCGAGTGGATTCGAACCCGCCACATTAGGTGTATGTGGCTGGTGCCTTAGCCACTTGAGCCACAGGCGCCGAGCTGAGACTGTCTTGTCATCTTGTGCAGCGCTAATTTGTAAAGCCCGGCGCCTGCCCTCCCTCTCCCCTGATTCTATGTTTCCACCAGCCCAGAGGCCTTAGGGGAGTGGAGACTAAAAGTGGGACAGATAGGAGGTCTCTGTCTTTCACTCCAGGATTGGAGAACTGGGAGTACACAGGGAGAGGGGATCTTCAGGCTATAGGGAACCTCTTTTCATGGCAACATATACACACCAGAGTCTGGCTCCCACATAAGGTAAATAGATGTGTTACTTTAATAATTATGTCCCAGCTACAGCCTCTTTTTTTCTGGTCTAGGAAAATCAAGCAGGAGGGAGGACCGTCTGGGGCTGAAGCAGGGCTGGGAGGAGCAGCGGGGTTGAGTGGGGGAAAACTCAAGCCCCCAGTCCTCCCGCACTAATAGGACAGTTCAGCCACCTTCAGGGACACTCAGGGACACTGTGTCTCCCGGCCAGCTCCAAGGCTGCAGGAGGACACTGGTTTCTGGATTCTGTTTCAGTCACACTTGGTCCATCTTGGACTCCACAGTAGCCTCGATGGCAGGGGCTGAAGTTGGGGCCATGGGGGTGGTAGAGGTCTGTGGTGAAGAGGTTTCTCAGGCACAGAGAGTTTCTCTGGAAAACAAAAACATGAGTCGCTTCAGAGTTACACCCCTTTTCCCATGCTCTCCCACCCCAGGCATCCCCAGCCTGCTGGCCATCCCCCTCCTCAGGACTTTTTTGGCCCCTTCATCCCTCATCGATTTCCTCTGAGTATGTTCTGACTTTTCTGACCTTCTGTCTTGCTGGCCCCAACCTGCTGTTTCTCTGTCTCATTTTGTCACTGTCTCCTGATTTCTCATCCCCTGTTACTCCACAGAGACCCTGCTCTGTCTACCCTCCTTCCTTCCTCACTTTTCCACACTACCCCCCCCCCGAAAAGGGTTTCCTACACGCCAGACACTCACAAAATGGAAGAGAAGCCCAGTGAAAAGAATCACAGCCATAGCAACTGAGGCCAAGGTGATTAGGATGACCTCCCATGGCCTTAGGTATCCATTAGGTCTTTCCTCAATTCCTGGAGGGGCAGTACTTGTGCTGGTGACACTGGACACTGGAGCTGATACTGTCATGGTGATTCCACTGGAAGCTGTGGCTGACCCAGGAAGGGTGGTCATAGTGATTCCACTGGAAGTTGTGGTTGATGTAGGGGGGGTCGTCATGGTGATTCCACTGGAAGCTGTGGCTGATCCA